GAGGAGGAGGAGGAGGAGGTGGTGGTGGTGGAGGAGGAGGAGGAGGAGGTGGTGGTGGTGGTGGAGGAGGAGGAGGAGGGGATGAGGAGAGGGAGGAGGAGGATGGGGAGGAGGAGGAGGAGGAGCAGGAGGAGGAGGACCAGTGTAAAATCAAGAGTCATCAACGATGTTGGAATTCACCCTCCCTGCAAGGTCCCTCCTCATAGGCCCCCGCAACGGTTCATTTCCATTGAGGGAACTGCCTCGTTGGAAGACAACCGTTTGAAGATCCTGAGGCATGCCAAAACATTATTCTCGGGATTTCGAGACCACGTATCAACCTGACTGCTGCGTCTTGACGGTCCGGAATCGTGCCAGAGCGCCATTTTTGGGACTTTAGCACCGCGAATCAACATTACTGTTGCACCCGCATAATCCGGAATCTTTCCAAAACACCATTTCTGGTACGTCGACTATGGGAATATGTGAAACTTTAGCTAATGTTGAAAACGAATGTGCGCGGCGCTAAGACGAGAGCAGCATTTAGAAAAGGAAGCGCCCTCAATCCGTGAAACTCTTGCAAATGTTTGAAAAGAATGTGCGCGGCGCTAAGGCCAGAGCCAAATTTTGAAAACCACCCGCCCTCGATCCGTGAAGCTCTTGCAACTTTTAAAACGAGTGTGTGCGGCGCTAAGGCGTGGGCCACATTTGGACCCGCCCTCAATCCGTGAAACACTTGCTAATTCCCGGAAAGGGCTCGAGCCCAGGGTTCTCTTTTAGTTGGTAAACCTGTCCCCCGGTGCCAACTTGAAGGAGGCCGGCGAATTTTTTCCCTGATAAATATCGAGGTCGAAGGAGGCCGGCGAATTAAAATTTGAGGATGTCTCGAGCGAAACGCTTGTTTTTGAAATCCCGATCGATAAATCACAGGGTGCGGGCCACTTTTTCGTGTGTTGAGGATGTCTCGAGCGAAACGCTTGCTCCGCAGAGTTTGCCGAGGATGTCTCGAGCGAAACGCTTGTTTTGCAGAGCCGACCGCGACGCGGAAAAGCGCCCCGCGCGAAGGAATTTCGATGATGTTTCGACTAATTTGTTTGTTTTTGTACGATTTCCTGGAATTTTGGCAGGATGTCTCGAGCGAAATGCACGACCCCACCCTAGCACGACCATACCCCAGCACGACCACACCCCAGCACGACCAGACCCCAGCACGACCCCACCCCAGCACGACCCCACCCCAGCACGACCATACCCCAGCACGACCACACCCCAGCACGACCCGACCCCAGCACGACCCTACCCCAGCAAGACCACACCCCAGCACGACCACACCCCAGCACGACCTCACCACAGCACGACCACACCCCAGCACGACCACGCCCCAGCACGACCACGCCCCAGCACGACCACGCCCCAGCACGACCACCCCCCCAGCACGACCACCCCCCAGCACGACCACCCCCCAGCACGACCACACCCCAGCACGACCACTCCCCAGCACGACCACACCCCAGCACGACCACACCCCAGCACGACCACACCCAGTCGCACCCCCGTGGAATGTTTCGTGGCGTGTCTGGTTGAGTGGTTGCCTGTTCGTGGGGTGTCTCGTGGAATGTTTCACGGGGTGTCTCGTGGAATGTTTCGTGAGGTGTCTCGTGGAATGTTTCGTGAGGTGTCTCGTGGGATGTTTCGCGGGGTGGCACGACCACGCCCCAGCACGACCACCCCCCCAGCACGACCACCCCCCAGCACGACCACCCCCCCAGCACGACCACCCCCGCACGACCACACCCCAGCACGACCACACCCCAGCACGACCACTCCCCAGCACGACCACACCCCAGCACGACCACACCCCAGCACGACCACACCCAGTCGCACCCCCGTGGAATGTTTCGTGGCGTGTCTGGTTGAGTGGTTGCCTGTTCGTGGGGTGTCTCGTGGAATGTTTCAAAGGGTGTCTCGTGGAATGTTTCGTGAGGTGTCTCGTGGAATGTTTCGTGAGGTGTCTCGTGGGATGTTTCGCGGGGTGTCTCGTGGGATGTTTCGTGAGATGTCGCCCAGTTGGGTATCGTGAAAACGTGACCATGCTGCACATGTCTTTATCCCTTTCCGGGTTCGTGGGTCCATCATGTTTTTAGCACGAATGTGCGCGGCGCTAAGGCGAGGGCCACATGTTGAAAACGACCCGCCCTCAATCCGTGAAACTCTTGCAAGGTTTTGAGACGAATGCGCGCGGCGCTAAGGCGAGAGTCACATTTTGAAAACGATTCGCCCTCAATCTGTGAAGCTCTTGCAAATGTTTGAAGCGAATGTGCGCGGCGCAAAGGCGAGAGCCACATGTTGAAAACAACTTGCCTTCCATCTGTGAAACTGTTGTCACTGTTTAAGCTTCAGAGTCGTAAATGGTGAGAAAGTCTCAGGCGAAACGCCCGGCCCGTCTTCAAAACTGGCTTCGGGGTGCGACAGGGAGGAGTTATCTATAAGGACAAGGAATGGAGGGATCAGGAGGGGGAGGAGGAGGAGGGGAAGCAGGAGGAGGAGGAGGAGGAGGAGGAGGAGGAGGAGAGGGAGGGAAGAGGAGGATCAGGAAGAGGAGGAGGACCAGTGCAAACCCAAGGGTCGTCAACGATGTTGGAGTAAACTCTCCCTCCAAGATCCCTCTTCCTAGGGCCATGCAGCGGTTCATTTCCACGGGGGGAGCTGCCTCGCTGGAAGACAAGAATTTGAAGAGCCTGAAGCGTGCCAGAATGTTGTTCTCCGGACTCCAACGCCACGGATCAGCCTGACTCTATAGCCCCCTGTAGCCCTATAGTCCTCTAGCCTTATAGCCCTTTAGCCCTATAGTCACATAGCCCTATAACCCAATATCCCTATAGCCCTGTAGCCTTATAGCCCTATAGACCTATAGCCCTATAGTTCTACAGCCGTATGGCCCTATAGCCCTCTAGCCCTCTAGCCACATAACCCTATGTTTAACCCTATGACCCTATAGCCCTATTGCCCAATCGCCCTACAGCCCTGCAGCCCTATAGCCCTATAGCGCTATCACCCCATGGCCTGATAGCCCTACAGCGCCCTACAGCTCCATTGCCCTATAGCACTATAGCTTTATATGTGATTGTGATTGTTGGTTTCTCCCCAGTATCATTTCCCAATCAGAGCTTGCCTCTGTAGGGGTCCTAGCGGAGTCGTGTGGTTAGGTGAGGTTTGGCGCCGGTTTCGGCGGCACCCCCGGGTGCCTGGGTGCCCAGGTGCCCGGGTGCCCGGGTACACAGGTGCCCAGGTGCCCGGGTGCCCGGTAGCCCTATGGCCTTGTTGCCTTATAGCCTTATAGACTTATAGCCCTTATAGCCCTGTAGCCCTATAGCCCTATAGACTTACAGCCCTATAGCCCTAATATCGCTATAGTCCTATAGCCCTATAGCCCTGTAGCCTTATAGCCCTATAGCCCTATAGCCCTATATCCTTATAGCCTTATAGCCTTATAGCCCTATAGCCCTATAGCCCTATAGCCATATAGTCCTATTGCCCTATAGCCCTATAGCGCCATAGCCCTGTATCCCAAAACAGATTCTGAGTGCGGTTTTCCCCAATCAGAGCTTGCCTCTGTAGGGGTCCTACCGGATTCATAAGGTTAGGTGAGGTTTGCCACCGATTTCCGTGGCCCTCCCGGGTGCCTGGGTGCCCAGGTGCCCCGGTGCCTGGGTGCCCTGGTGCCTTATAGCCCTAAAGCCCTATAGACCTATAGCCTTATAACCCTATAGCCCCATAGCCCAATAGCCCTATAGCCCTACAGCCCTATAGCCCAATAGCCCTATAGCCCTATGATACCGGAGGAACAACCCAATCAGATTTTTGTTAGGGCTATAGGGCTATAGGGCTATTGGGCTATAGGGCTATACGGCTATCGGGCTATAGGGCTATAGGGCTATTGGGCTATAGGGCTATAGGACTGTGATCTATAGGGCCATAGGGCTATAGGGCTAGGGGCTATAGAGCTATATGGGCTATGGGGCTATGGGGCTATAGGGCTATAGGGATATGAGGCTATTAGGGCTATAGGGATATGAGGCTATAGGGCTACAGGGCTATAGGGCTATACGGCTATAGGGCTATAAGGCTATAGGGCTACTGGGCTATTGGGATATTGGGCACCCCCGGGCACCCGGGCACCCCCGGGCACCCGGGCACCCGGGCACCCAGGCCCGGCCACCGAAATCGGCCACGCACCTCACCGGCCACCGGGGCACCCGGGCACCGCCGGGCACCCGGGCCCCCCCGGGCACCCGGGCTCGGCCACCGAAATCGGCCGCACCTCTCACCTAATCTTTTAATCCGCTAGGACCCCTACAGAGGCAAGCTCTGATTGGGGAATAGTTGTGTAGACTTAGAGCCTTAGAGCCCTATCGCCCTATAGCCCTATAGCCCTGTAGCCCTGTAGCCCTATAGCCTTATAGACCTAAAGCCTTATAGCCCTATAGGCCTATAGCCCCATAGCCCTCTATCCCTATAGCCCTGTAGCTCTATGGTCCTATAATTAGCCCTATGGTCCCATTGCCGTATAGCTTCATAGCCCCATGGCCCTAGCCCCAGAGCCCCATAACCCCATAGCCCTATAGCCCTACAGCCAGCCATATAGCCCTATGGCCCTATAGCCCTATAGCCCTATAGACCTATAGCCCTATAGTCCTATAGTTCCATAACCCTATAGCCCCATAGTCCCATCGCCCGATAGCCCAATAGCCACATACCCTTATAGCGCTAGAAAAGACTATGATTGGGGCTTTTCTCCGGTGTCAAATAAGGAAAAAGGAGTGGAGGAGGAAGATGAGGAGGAGGAGGAGGAAGAGGAGGAGGAGGAGGAAGTGGAGGAGGAGGAGGAGGAGGAGGAGGAGGAGGACTGGCAGGCAAATTAGCATGAGGGGGGGGCGCTGTTCGCTGGGGGTGCGGCCTCGGTCTGGCCGGGCGCGCACTTCCAGTGGAGAAGCGGGCAGCGGCCCGCCCAGTTCGCAGAGGTAGTCCCCGCCGCGTTCGGGCCGTTCGGCATCATCGTGGGCGGCTGGACAGACGACGAGCTGGAGGACGAGCGCACCGCCACGGCTGCTCGCTCTGCGACGCGGGGCTCGAAGCGCGCTCGGAGCATGCTGGGCGTTTCTGGCCCTCGCTCGGCCTCCAGAGGCTCGCGTGGACCTCGGGGGACTCCTGGGGGCTTCGGGACCCAGGCATCGACGCGGCCCTCCCGAGGAGAGGCCCCACTCGATGGGGCCCCACAGTTTCACGTCTCGCCCGACCCGACCAGACCGCCCGCCCGAGTAGTGATCCTGTTTGATGGGGTCCCACACTATAATGTCCCGCACGCCCTGCTCGATAGGGCCCCCCATCTTGAAGTCCCGCCAGAACCGCCCCGCGCGCCCGAGCGGTGGTCCTATTCGGCGGGGTCGCACGCTTCACTGATTCGCCCGCCCGATCCGATCCGCCAGCCCTAGTCGCGATCCCCTTCGGCGGAGTCTCGCACTTGAATGTCCTGCCCACCAGCCCAGCCCTGCGCGCCCGAATAACGCCAGCTTGTGATAAACAAAAGGCCTCCCCCCCAGGGCTGATGAATAGACCCCGCGGGGCGCGATACTTTATGAAAGATCTCGCGCGCCAGGGGGAAGGAGGAGAGAGGAGGGGGAGGGGGGAGAAGGAGGAGAAGGAGGAGGACGAGGAAAAGAAGGACCGCCAGGGGAGAAGGAGGAGAAGGAGGAGGAGGAGGCGCCATGGGAGAAGGAGGAGAAGGAGGAGGACGAGGAGCTGATTTCGGTCGCCCCGCCGAAGGGCCAGTCCTCGACGCATGGCCGCTTTAGGCGCCAGGAGGCGCTTGGAAAATCGGCGACGTGAGCTGCTTGGCAAATCCCCCCTTTGCTGCGCCCCAGTTTCGTCCAGCCCGCTTTGCCCGCAGGCCCGCATCGGTTCGACAGAAAGAGGGGCGCCCTGGCTCGCCCTTCCCTCCAAACACCCCCCCTTGCCACTCGTTGGCGGCCGGGCGTCGGCGTTAATCACCGGCGCCGCCCCGTTGATTTTCAATATGTCGGGCGCCACCCCGCGATTCGCCCGAGCCGGGGAACTATTTTCCCGGAAAGGGCGCCGGCCCAGGGTTCTCTTTTAGTGGGTAAACCTGTCCCCCGGTGCCAACTTGAAGGAGGCCGGCGGATTTTTTCCCTGATAAATATCGAGGTCGAAGGAGGCCGGCGGATTAAAATTTGAGGATGTCTCAGGCGAAACGCTTGTTTTTGAAATCCCGATCGATAAATCACAGGGTGCGGGGCACCTCAGCACGACCACGCCCCAGCACGACCACGCCCCAGTACGACCACGCCCCAGCACGACCACGCCCCAGCACGACCACGCCCCAGCACGACCACACCCCAGCACGACCACACTCCAGCACGACCACACCCCAGCACGACCGCACCCCAGCACGACCACACCGCAGCACGACCCGATCGATAAATCACAGGGTGCGGACCACCCCAGCACGACCACACCCCAGCACGACCCCACCCCAGCACGACCCCGCCCCAGCACGACCACGCCCCAGCACGACCGCACCCCAGCACGACCACACCCCAGCACGACCCCACCCCAGCACGACCCCACCCCAGCACGACCGCGCCCTAGCACGACCACAGCCCAGCACGACCACGCCCCAGCACGACCACACCCCAGCACGACCCCACCCCAGCACGACCCCACCCCAGCACGACCACACCCCATCACGACCACACCCCAGCACGACCCCGCCCCAGCACGACCCCACCTCAGCAAGACCACGCCCCAGCACGACCACACCCCAGCACGACCGCACCCCAGCACGACCCCACCCGAGCACGACCACGCCCCAGCACGACCACGCCCCAGCACGACCGCGCCCCAGCACGACCACCCCCCAGCACGACCACCCCCCAGCACGACCACCCCCCAGCACGACCACCCCCCATCACGACCACCCCCCAGCACGACCACTCCCCAGCACGACCACGCCGCCTTGGTTGAGTGGTTGCCTGTCGTCGTGGAATGTTTCGTGGGGTGTATCGTGGAATGTTTCGCGGGATGTCTCGTGGAATGTTTCGTGAGGTGTATCGTGGAATGTTTCGTGAGGTGTCTCGTGGGATGTTTCGTGAGGTGTCTCGTGGGATATTTCGTGAGGTGTTGCCTAGTTGTGTATCGTGCAAACGTGTCCATGCTCTACATGTCTATATCCCTTTCCGGGTTCGTGGGTCCATCATGTTTTAACACGCGCCCCCCACGGATTTGCTAAGCACAAGCTGACATTCGTGGTCATGTCCGGTGGGGTTCACACGTTCACGGTCGCCCGCCCCGCCCGACCCGCGCGCCCGAGTAACGGTCCTACCCGACGGGATCCCACACCTGAATGTCCCGCCCGCCCTGATCGACCCTTCCGCCGGAGTAGTGGTCCTACTCGATGGGGGCCAACACAAATGCCCCGCCCGACCTGGCCCGCGCGAGTAACTGTCTTCTTCGAAGGGGTCCCACAGTGTAATGTCCCGCCAGCCCGATCCGATCCGCTCGCCACAGAAGTGGTTCTATCCGATGGGGCCCCGCACTTGCGCGTCTTGCCCGACCCCATCCTCCTCCTCCTCCTCCTCCTCCTCCTCCTCTCCTCTCCTCCTCCTCCTCCTCCTCCTCCTCCTCCTCCTCCTCCTCCTCCTCCTCCTCCTCCTCCCTTCTCCCCCACAATTACTCAATATGAATACTACTCTCCCTCTTCCCCTGATGACGGCTTGAAAGTGGCCGACCCCCCCCCTCGGGTATTGTTTTTTACACACAGGTTTCCCCGGAATTGAGTTTTCGCTGCATTTGTTTCCAAAATGCTGCTCTCGCTGAGGCGCCGGCCTCATTTTCGGGCCCCGCTCGTTCCGAATCGTGCTCCCGCTGCAGCGCTGGCCTCATTTCCGTGCTTCCGCTCGTTCCGAATCGTGTTCCCGCCGCAGCGCCGGCCTCATTTCCGCGCTTCCGCTTGTTTCGACTCGTGCTCCCGCTGCAGCGCTGACGTTATTTCCCGTGCCATGCCACGGCATGCAATGCAATGCTGGGTTGATACTACGCTTTGCGGTGCTTTTCTACGCCATGCCATGCCGTGTTCTACAATGCATCGCGTACCCTTTCGGGATCATTGCCCTGCTCGACGTCCGACTGACGAGTAGAGAGGGGATCTGCGCCATGGTAAAGGATGGGAGGGGGGGGGGGTAGGATGTCAGATATGACGCGAGCGCACCTAGCTTGTCCTCCTCCCCCTCCCCCTCCTCCTCCTCCTCCTCCTCCTCCTCCTCCTCCTCCTCCTCCTCCTCCTCCTCCTCCTCCTCCTCCCCCTCCTCCTGATCCTCCTCCTCCTCCTCCTCCTCCTCCTCCTCCTCCTCCTCCTCCAGGTTCGGTTTCCAGGGGCCTTTTTGCCGGGTCCAGGACCGTCCAACAAACGGCTCGGGATACCAAACCGGTCCTAGGGAAGGGGTCCAGACCTTTGGCGGCGGACGCTGTGAACAAATCACGACGCCAGGGGTCTGGGGGCGGGGGACGGGACGGCGGCGAGGTAGCGGCCATTCGGTCGAGCGACGTCCAACTCGGCCGGGTAATGTCTAGCTCCCCCGAGTCAGAGGTAACTCTTGGGTGGAGTGGGCCAGGGCGACGACTGCCAGAGCCGGCTTTAATGCGAGCTAGGGGCAATTCGTTTGGGTTAAATCCAACTCGGTTGTGCTGCCTCTAATTCATTTCCCGAGTTTAACCCCGAACCGGCGAGTTAGAGGTAACTCCCGGGTGGGGCGGGGACAGGGCGGCGATTGCTAGGCAACTCGACGGATATGCCTCTCACTCGGTCGACTTACTTCTAACCCGAGTTAGAGGTAACTCTGACGAGTTACCTCTAAGTGCTTACCCATTTCGGCCGCCCGAGGTAGAGGTACCTCTGGGGAACACCTTACGTTCTGATTTCCATATTGGCGGTTCGTTGCTGATGGAGGGGCCAATTCCTGCTTTTCCTTTGCCTCTTCCCTGAATCGTTCTTAGCAGTCCCCCGCCCCGTTTCCTCCTCCTCCTCCTCCTCCTCCTCCTCCTCCTCCTCTGCTTCATCCTCTTTCTCCTTCTCCTGCTCCTCCTCAACACTTTCGGGCTTCCTTGTTCCTTCTCATTCTTCTCTCCCTCCTCCTCCTCCTGCTCATCATGATCCCGTCTCGCTCTCACCTCCCACGAAGGCCTTTCTCCATCCCATCCAACATCCTCCCTCTTCCCGCTGCTCTTCCTCCTGCCTTTTTCTCGTCGTTCTCCTTCTCCTTCTCCTCATCCTCAGGAGCAAGAGGGAGGGCTAGGGAGAGGGGAGAAGAGAAAGAGAGAGAGAGAGAGAGAGAGCGAGAGAGAGAAAGAGAGAGGGAGAGCAAGAGTGGGTGTGAGTTTGTTTGCTATGTGAGAGGAGAGAGGAGAGAGGAGAGAGGAGAGATAGAGAGAAAAGGACGACGTGGGGAGGAGGGCGAGGAGCTGCTCCTTCAGGTCGGAGTGGCTGTGCCTGGCTGGCCCTCCTGGCTGGCCATAGGCCGGGCGCCCGTGCCCCCCGCGGGGCCCCCCGCGCCCGCTGGCGGCCAGTACACCGTGGCCCCCACCCTGGAGGACTCGGCGGGCCCAGGACCCACGGCGCCTCCTCGCCCGTGGTGCCCGCACCCGCCCCTCCCTCCTCCCTCCTCCCTCCTCCTCCTCCTCCTCCTCCTCCCCTCCTCCTCCCTCCTCCTCCTCCTCCTCCTCCTCTCTCCTCTCCTCCTCCTCCTCCTCCTCCTCCTCCTCCTCCTCCTCCTCCTCCTCCTCCCTCCTCCTCCTCCTCCTCCCTCCTCCTCCTCCTCCTCCTCCTCCTCCCTCCTCTCTCTCCTCCTCCCCTCCTTCCTCTCTCCTCCTCCCCCCTCCTCCGCCTCCTCCTCTCCTCCTCCTCCGCCTCCTCCCGCCTCTCCCTCCTCCCTCCTCCTCCTCCTCCTCCTCCTCCTCTCCTCCTCCTCCTCCTCCTCCTCCTCATCCTCCTCCTCCCTCCCTCCCTCCCCCCTCCCTCCCTCCCTCCCTCCCTCCCTCCCTCCCTCCCTCCCTCTCTCATTCTCCTTCTCTCCTTCCTTCCTCCTCCTCCTCCTCCTCCTCCTCCTCCTCTCCTCCTCCTCTCCTCCTCCCTCTTCCGACCGCTCCCCCTCCCTCCGAGGTATCCTCCCTCATCCTTCTCCTCCTTCCTCCTCCTCCACCTCCTCCCCTCCTCCTCCTCCTTTCCTCCTCCTCCTCTCCCTCCCCTCCTCCTCCTCCTCCTCCTCCTCCCTCCCCTCGTCCTGCCGCCGTGGGATCCCTTCTCCTCCTCCCTCCTCCTCCTCTCCTCCTCCTCCTCCTCCTCCTCCCCCTCCTCCTCTTGATCCTCCTCCTCTCCTCCTCCTCCTCCTCCTCCTCCTCCTCCTCCTCCCTGCTCCGACGGTCCTCTTCATCCGCCTGGCCCTGCCTCCGACGGCCTCCAGCTCCAGCGGCCTCGGCCTGGCGCGGCCGGGGCCGCGCTTGCTGGTCGCTGTTCGTGCTTAGACGGCGCGCCCCGGCCTCGAGTCCTCTCGAGTCCTCTCCTCGTCCCTGCTCTCGTCCTTCTTCTCCTGCTCCACTTCGTCCTCCCCGTCCTGCGGGTCATCGTGCTGCTTCTCCTGCTCGTCCTGTTGCTGCTGATTCCTGCAGTTGTTCCTCCTCCTCCTCCTCCTCCTCCGCCTCCTCCTCCTCCTCTCCTCCTCCTCCATCATCATCCCTGTCCTCATCAACCGTCTTCCAAAACTCCTCCTCCTCCTCCTCCTCCTCCTCCTCCTCCTCCTCCTCATCCTCCCGTCTGGCTCTCCCATCCCTCTCGTGCGGCCCTCCCACGTTCAAAGCGAGCGCGCGTGCAGCCACATGCACCGCGGAGACGCACGGCGTGGATGCGGTCTGGCGCCCGTTCTGGAGGGGCAATGCGGGCGGTGGCCGTCGGCCCACGCTCTGTAAAGGAGCACAGGTGCAGGATCGAGAGAACGGCAGTCTTCTCCTCTTCTGATGGTTATTGCTATTATCTTCCTCCTCCTCCTCCTCCTCCTCCTCCTCTTCCTCCTCCTCCTCCTCCTCCTCCTCCCTCCTCCTCCCTCCGCTTCCTCCCTCCTCCCTCATCCCTCCTCCTCCCTCCTCCTCCATCCTCCTCCCTCTTCCTCCCCCTCCTCCCTCCTCCTCCCTCCCCCTCCTCCTCCCTCCTTCTCCTTCCTCTCCTCCTCCTCCTCCTCCTCCTCCCCCTCCTCCTCCCTCCTCCTCCCTCCTCCTCTTCCTCCCTCCTCCCTCCTCCTCCGCCTCCTCCGCCTCCTCCTCGTTCGATCATGAAGTGCGCCAGTATCCAGGACAAGAGCCGCCAAGCGGAAAAAGCGCACGTTGCCGAGGTGACCGGCCCGAAGTTCCTGCGCCCACATGTGCACGTATGTTCCACCAAGAAGTGCTCTATCAGCAGAGGGAGTGGAAGAACCATTCCTTTCGCCTAGAGTTGATCGTGAGCCTCAAGCTGCAGCCAGTGCTCGACGAGATTCTCGTGATCCAGAGTGCGATGCCAGAGGTGGAGAGAAAGTTCGGCGGTCCTCCTCGTGGCCTGTATGCGCGGCGTCAGATCGTAGACTGCATGGTGGAGATGGGGGGGTACCCGGCCCAGGCGTAGAAAGCAGTGGATTAGCAGTTCATTCAGATGAGGAGTTCGGTCAGAGCCGAGAACACTCCCTTTTTGCCTCGTCCTGTCCTCGCGTCTAAATGATTCGGAGACGCTTCAGAGGCTTTTTCGAGTTCTTAGAGGTCGTGCAGCGGCCCACAAGTGGCAGTGACTGCAGGGTGATTACTTGGTTTCTTCTGTCTGAGCCGTGTGCCTAGTTCGATTGCTTTTGGGTCTAGACCGATTCGTAAGTATTTCGTGTTCCGGTTGACTCTAGCAGAACCGTTTTGGCCTCTGTCCCGTCCCCGAGGGTGGCACGCGACCGAGTTGGCCAAGGATTGACCCCTTCTCCTCCTTCGCGGCTGTGTGTTCTTCTCTCCCCTGCTTCCTGGGGTCAGTCCACCGCTGGCTTTTGTTTCCCTCCTGGGGGTGGGCGGAGTGGAAGGCCGAGACACTCAACCAGTACGTCTCGAATCGATTATTCTTCTACTCCTCGAAAGACGGGGTGCGCTGGAAAAAAAAGAGAGCCAACATCACCAAACACCAGGGCGCGCTGGCTCTCACCCGTTCGGAGCCCGCGTGCTGCTCCAGTAGAGGGTTCGGCCACGTGTGCTGGATAGGAGGAGGAGGAGGAGGAGGAGGAGGAGGAGGAGGAGGGAGGAGGAGGAGGAGGAGGAGGAGGAGGAGAAGACGGCTGCTCGGCGTCGTGGTGCTCCCCTCGCAGCTGACGAGGCCGCCGCCCTGCTGCCTGCTGTCCGATTTTCCCTGTTGAGGTAGTTTGGATTGTGAGGACTCTCTGGGTACGCTCGAGGAGGAGGAGGAGGAGGAGGAGGAGGAGGAGGAGGAAGAGGAAAAGGAGTCTCTCGTGAACCCGCGCTGGATCGGCAGTTGGCGAGGCTGCGTCTCGGGCCCTCTGCGGCGCACGGCCGCCGACAGCGAGCGCCAGGGGTTCGGGGTCTCTGCCTGCCCAGGGCGCACGGCGATGGACTCACAGGCCCTTCCCAGCTGGAGCCACCAGCACCGCCTCCCCCTCGCGCCTTCCCCTCCTTTCCCTCCACCTCCTCCTCCTCCTCCTCCCCTCCTCCTCCTCCTCCTCCTCCTTTTTCTCCTCCCTCCGCTTCCCCCCTCCTCCTCCTCCTCCTCCTCCTCCTCCTCCTCCTCCCCTCCCCCTCCTCCTCCCCTCCTCCTCCTCCTCCTCCTCCTCCTCCCTCCTCCCTCCTCCCTCCTCCTCCCTCCTCCTCCTCTCCTCCTCCTCCTCCTCCTCCTCCTCCTCCTCCTCCTCCTCCTCCTCTCCTCCTACTCCTCCTCTCCTCCTCCTCCTCCTCCTCTCTTCTTCCTCCTCCTCCTCCTCCTCCTCATCATCATCATCATCATTTCCACCGAAAGCCCTGCCCCAAATAACATCAAGCGGGTGGTTCGAAGCTGCAAGCGCGCATCGGAGATTGGAAGGAAGCCGCCAAGATTATACCGCCCTTGTCAGTATCCCCTCGGCGCTGCTCCCTTCTTCCAACCCTCGTCCATGTGAGCATTCGTTGGCGCACCGCCACGCGTGTCGGCAGCGTGGGCAGAGCTTCTCGCCTGACACTTCTTCGCCATTCATGACGTTGACTGTTGAAGCCTGCAGCAGTTGCACGGCGCGGGGGCGCACCGTTTCCAGCATGCTGCTCTCCCCGCAACACCGCGCAACAAGACGTGTCCGAAAAGCTCCCGGCAGCTGCGCCTACACGGGCGGAGGGCGGGCCAGTTGTCCACAGCACGGTTTCGCCTCCGCGCCGCGCGCCTTCGTCCGAACGGCTCGCACCCGCTGCGCGGGCGGAGGGTGCGCGCGTCTTCCGGGTGCCGTTCTCGCCCCAGCGCCGCGCAGCCTCGTCTCCACGGCATGCATTGGCTACGCTCTGATGGATCGACTAAATGTAAGAGTGGCCTTTCGCCGGAGTGACCTTTGGTGCGGGCCCAATGGGGTCCCCCGATCGCCGAACGCGACGCGGTAGCAGCGCCTTGGGCGCTCGTGTTTGGTCCCCCCCTGCGGCCCCCCCCAAAAGCCGCGCAACGAAGGTCACTCTTACGCAGGGTCACTCCTGTGTGTAGTCGAATGGAGCGTGGTTCCTCTTCGCAGGGGCTGCCTCGCTTGAGGGGTCGGCAGAGTCCACGGCCTGAAGTGCAGTGCTGTGAAACCGCTGCACGGGTGGAGCACGCCTCCTTTTCAGTGTTGGGCTCTCGGGGCGATCAGAGGCTGAACATTGCCAAACTTACACGGATGGAGAGCGACTCCTTGCAAATACGGGAGGTCTGGTTGGACACCTTTTTCATATTAGATTTGATCATACTTTCTTGCGCTTCTTGTAGCCAGCTGGGGTGATGGAGGGTGGATCCTTTTTTCCCGGAAAGGGCGTGGGCCCAGGGTTCTCTTTTAGTTGGTTAACCCCCCGGCCCCCCTGCGACTTGGGCCGGCGAAATTATTTTGCGAGCGGGCACGCACGGAGTAGGGCCGGCGAAATTATTTTTGAGGATGTCTCGAGCGAAACGCTTGTTTTTCAGAATTTGTTGAGGATGTCTCGAGCGAGACGCTGGTTTTGCAGAGTTGGGGATGTCTCGAGCGAAACGCTTGGTTTCAGAATTTGTTGAGGATGTCTCGAGCGACACGCTGGTTTTGCAGAGCCGACCGCGACACGGAAAAGCGCCCCTCGCGCAGGAATTCTGAGGATGTCTCGCGCGTGCCGCGTCCCGCGCGCGGGTATTTGGATTTCTTGAGATTTTGACAGGATGTCTCGAGCGAAACGCTTGTTTTTCACAATTCGTTGAGGATGTCTCGAGCGAAACGCTGGTTTTGCAAAATTGGAGGATGTCTCGAGCGAAACGCTTGCTTTTCAGAATTTGTTGAGGATGTCTCGAGCGAAACGCTGGTTTTGCAGAGTTGGGGTATCTAACATGGCGTCGGGCCCAACGCCGAATTATGAGGAAAAGTGATGGCTTCTTGCTCTGAACAGGGGGGTGCGCTTTGGGGGCCTCTCCAGGGAAGACGTTGTGAGGATGTCTCGAGCGGGAGCGCGAATTCAGCGTATCCAAGTCACGCAGAGGGGTATCTAACATGGCTGTCCCGAGCTGGAACCACGTGTTTTTTCATGCTCAGGCCACCCAGGGAGATCTCTAACATGATTGTCCCGAGCTGGAACCACGTGTTTTACGTGTCCAGGCCACCCAGGGGGTATCTCTCATGGTTGTCCCGAGCTGGCACCGTGTTTTTACGTGTCCAGGCCACCAACACGACGCTTGTCCCCAGCACGTTCTGTAGCGCGTCCCCTTGGCACGTCTCGCGGTGCGTCCCCGTGGCACGTCCCCTGGCACGTCGCCTGGCGCGTCCCTTGGAACGTTCCGCGGCGCGTCTTCCTGGCATAATTCCTTGTCAATTAGCTCTGCGGCAGCTACTTCGTGGACTATGTGCTCAGGCAGCTCGAGCTTAAGATCCAGATCAGTTCGGTCAGGGACTCGGATGCAACGGAGGACTTGATCCACAACGCTGTAGAGCACAATCGCGGCATGGCACATCGCAGTTCAGCACGGCGCAGCACAGCACAGCCCTCGGCACATTACATCAAGATCGGTACACTCACTCAGCATTGCAACTTGGCAGGTTCTCTGGCACGTTCCGTGGCGCGTCCTGTGGCGAGTCCCCCTGGCACGTCGCGCGGCGCGTCCCCTGGCACGTCCCGTGGCACGTTCATAATGCATTTGCACGTTCCGTAGCGCGTCCCCTTGGCACGTCCCGCGATGCGTCCCCATGGCACGTCCCCTGGCACGTCGCCTGGCGCGTCCCTTGGAACTTTCGGCGGCGCGTCTTCCTAGCATGCCCCCCGTGAATTAGCTCTGGGGCAGCTACTATGTGCTCAGGCAGCTCGAGCTTAAGATCCAGATCAGTTCGGTTAGGACTCGGATGCAAAGGAGGACTCGATCCACAACGCTATAGAGCACAATCGTCACGTGGCACATCGCAGTTCAGCACGGCGCAGCACAGCACAGCCCGCGGCACGGTACATCAAGATCGATACACTCACTCAGCATTGCAACTTGGCACGTTCTTTGGCACGTTCCGTGGCGCGTCCTGTGGCGAGTCCCCCTGGCACGTCGCGCGGCGCGTCCCCTGGCACGTCCCGTGGCACGTCCATTGGCACGTTCCGTAGCGCGTCCCCTTGGCACGTCCCGCGGTGCGTCTCCGTGGCATTTCCCCTGACACCTCGCTTGGTGCGTCTCTTGGCACGTCCCATGGCACGTCCATTGGCACATTCCGTAGCGCGTCCCCTTGGCACGTCCCGCGGTGCGACCCCATGGCACGTCCCCTGGCACGTCGCCTGGCGCGTCCCTTGGGACGTTCTGCGGCGCGTCCTCCTGGCATGTTCCCTTGTCAATCAGCTCTGGGGCAGCTACTAGTTATGTGCTTATGCAGCTCGAGCTTAAGATCCAGATAAGTTCGGTCAGGACTCGGATGCAAAGGAGGACTCGATCCACAACGCTATAGAGCACACTCGTGGCATGGCACATCGCAATTCAGCACGGCACAGCACAGCACAGCCCTCGGCACGGTACATCAAGGTCGATACACTAAGCATTGCATTTGCCCGTCGCCCAATCAGGTGTCTTTGAAACGTTGCCATGTCTTACATTTCTATATTCCTTTCCGGGTTCGTGGGTCGATCATGTTTCGAAACGGGTTAATCGCCTGGATGGCAGTCCGATTGGGCGATCATCCTTCAGTGCCAATTCTCAAAGGGAAGCTAATAGCGTGTCAGGACCTATAATGAGGGCATCTGGGACGTGTGTGTTTTCCCAACCATCCTGTGGTGTTGGGTCCTCGTTTTGAAGAGACGGTCCCCGCGTTCGCCTTCTCTCCTCTTCTTCCCCCTGCTCCTCCACCGTCCGCATGCGTCCCGCACACCCAGTACAGCGTTTCGTGGCCCTCCTCCCCCTCCTCCTTGCGTTTCACCCACCCAGTACAACGCTTCGTGGCCCCATCGGGAGCCCCACCGAAGGTCCCAGTGCTACCATCCGCATGCGTCCCGCACACCCAGTACAGCGCTTCGTGGCCCCATAGGGAGCCCCACCGAAGGTCCCAGTGCTACCGTCCGCATGCGTCCCGCACACCCAGTACAGCGCTTCGTGGCCCCGTAGGGAGCTCCACCGAAGGTCCCAGTGCTACCGTCCGCATGCGTCCCGCACACCCAGTACAGCGTTTCGTGGCTTTCCTCCCCCTCCTCCTTGCGTTTCACCCACCCAGTACAACGCTTCGTGGCCATATAGGGAGCCCATGGTAGCCCCACCGAAGGTCCCAGTGCTACCGTCCGCATGCGTCCCGCACACCCAGTACAGCGTTTCGTGGCCCCGTAGGGAGCTCCACCGAGGGTACCAGGCTTACCGTCCGCATGCGTCCCCGCACACCCCAGTACAGCGTTTCGTGGCCTTCCTCCCCCTCCTCCTGCGTTTCACCCACCCAGTACAGCGTTCGTGCCCTATAAGGGAGCCCCACCGAAGGTTCCAGTGCTGCCGACCGCATGCGTCCCGCACACCCAGTACAGCGCTTCGTGGCCCCATAGGGAGCCCCACCGAAGGTCCCAGTGCTACCGTCTGCATGCGTCCCGCACGCCCGCACGTGCCCAGTACCAAGTCCCGCACACCCAGTACAGCGTTTCGTGGCCCCTCCTCCTTGCGTTTCACCCACCCAGTACAGCTTTTCGTGGCCCTATAGGGAGCCCCACCGAAGGTCCCAGTGCTACCGTCCGCATGCGTCCTGCACGCCCAGTACAGCGCTTCGTGGCCCCATAGGGAGCCCCACCGAAGGTCCCAGCGCTACCGTCCGCATGCGTCCCGCACACCCAGTACAGCGTTTCGTGGCCCCATAGGGAGCTCCACCGAGGGCCTCAGTGCCCCCGTCCGCATGCGTCCCGGACCCCAAATTTGTCATTTTCACACACCCAGTGCAGCGTTTCGTGGCCCCATAAAGGGCTCCACCCAAGGCCCCAGTGCCACCGTCCGTATGCGTCCGGGACATGTAATTTGGCATTTTCACCCGCGCAGTGCAGCGTTTCGTGGCCCCATGAGGGGGCTCCACCGAAGCCCCCAGTGGGACCGTCCGCATGCGTCCCGGAAACCCGATTTGGCATTTTCACTCACTCAGTAGCGCGCTTCGTGGCCCCATAGGGAGCTCCACCGAAACCCTCAGTGGGACCGTCCGCATGCGTCCCAGAAACCCAGTTCGGCACACCACCCACACAGTACAGCGTTCCCCCCCGCCCAGTGCAGCGCTTCGTGGCCCCATATGGAGCTTCACCGAAGCAGAGATATTCACAATTACGGTACCCACAACTGCATATGGTTGGGACCTTCGCCAGGATAATCGTGGCATGGTTGATGCATCCTTGGTTTACTCTGGTCTCCCTTCTCCCTCCTTCCTTCTCCTCCTCCTCCTCCTCATCCCCCTTTCTGTTCCTCCCTCTTCTCTTCTATATGTTTCCTGTCACTCCTCCTCCTCCTCCTCCTCCTCCTCCTCCTCCACCTCCTCCTCTACATATTTGTTCTTGCTTCTCCCATCTGGATCCTGCTCTACAACTGCTGCTCCTCCTGCTGGTCCTCATCATCATTATCCTCACTCCTCCTCTCCTGGTCACCTTCTCTCCAGCTCCCTCCTGCTGCTGGTCCTCTTTCTCCTGCTCCTACTCATTATTGTGTTTCTTCGTTTTGCATGCTCCTCCTGACTTCCTCCGTAGTCGGACGAATTTGCTGATCGTAACTAGAGCGTTCGGAGAGTGGTTTTGTGAAATACATGTGATCCGAGTGCCGCAGACAGTTCTTACCTGGTAAGTTCAAAAGGACAGGAGATGCGGATGAGAAGGGAGAGGAGGAGGAGAAGGAGGAGGAGGAGGAAGAGGCTGAGGCGGAGGCAGAGGCGGAGGAGGAGGAGGAGGAGAATGTACACAAAGTATGAAGATGATTTAACAAAGGAAGGGGTGCATGGAGGACGATGAGGAGGAGGAGAAAGAGGAGGTGGACGGAGGAGAAGAACAGGAAAGGAAAGGACGCCATGATGAAGCAGGGGAACAGATCGGAAGAGGCGGATGGAGGAGGGGGAGAGGGCGACGAGGGCGAGGACGAGGAGGGCGAGGACGGGGTGCGACGGGAGATGCGCTCTGCACCCCATGACCCGCTGCCCAGCGGCGAGCGAGAGGGGGAAACGAGAAGGAGAAAGCCTTCTCAGAAGGCGGCAGGACTTCCAAGAGGCCCGCGCGCCTCCTGAGAGGCTCTCTGCGTCTTCGGGGCAGGCTTCGGCTTAGGAAGCTTCTGCGAAGGCCGGGGGACTCCCGAGCCTTCTGAGAAGGTCAACGGCACCGTAACGGGTACTTACTAACGGGTACTTTGAATGTTTGCCGAAAGTTGCCACTTTAGGGCCTTTTTCTTGCATTGCAGCTTTGCCCACATCGGGAAGGGTTGGGTTCGCTGGGTCAGTGGCCAAAGTACCCGTTAGTGGAGTCCCTGTTTGAGGGGCGCTGAGAAGGCCCGGCCCTTCTCGCTTCCCCTCTTGGGCTCGCCGCCGCCCGCTGCCGAAGAGGAGTCCATATTCCAGTTCGCGTCCTCGCGCGCAAGGACGTCGACTTGACCCTCGAGGAGGCCGTGCGGCTCTCTGGCGTGTCCTTATGTTTTTCTCGAGGAACGCAAAGCAGCGTGTGCGTGTGTGTGTGTGTGTGTGTGTGTGCGTGCGTGCGTGCGTGCGTGCGTGTGTGTGGGTGTGGGTGTGGGTGTGGGTGTGGGTGCGTGTGCGTGTGTGGGTGTGGGTGTGGGTGTGGGTGTGGGCGTGGGTGTGGGTGTGGGTGTGGGCGTGGGTGTGGGTGTGGGTGTGGGTGTGGGTGTGGGTGTGGGTGTGTGCGTGTGCGTGTGCGTGTGTGTGTGTGCGTGTGCGTGTGCGTGTGTGTGTGTGCGTGTGCGTGTGCGTGCGTGCGTGCGTGCGTGTGTCTGTGTGTGTCTGTGTGTGTCTGTGTGTGTGTGTGTGTGTGTCTGTGTGTCTGTGCGTGTGTGCGTGCGTGCGTGCGTGAGTGCGTGCGTGCGTTCGTGTGTGTGTGTGTGTGTCTGTGTGTGTCTGTGTCTGCGTCCGTGTCTGTCGTATGAGCCTGTATGTTTTTCGGCGGTCCGCACCGATATCTCGGGTCGGCGCTGGCCTCCCCCCCTGGGGCGGCGCCTCCAGCGCCGCCCCTGGCGCGCTGCGCGCGCCAGAGAAGAGCCCACCGCCGCCCCAGGAAATCCGCGCAGACTTGCTCCTTCTCCCTTGCTCCGGTTCCTCCGCGGTTGCCCCTCCTCCTCCGCCCCTCGTCCTCTCTCCTCCGCATCCCTCCTCCTCCTCCTTCTCCTCCTCCTCCTCCTCCTCCTCCGCATCCCTCCTCCTCCTCCTCCTCCTCCTCCTCCTCCTCCTTCTCCTCCTCCTCCTCCTCCTCCTCCTCCTCCTCCCTCCTCCTCCTCCGCCTTCCGATGTCCGCTGCCACTCCTTGTCCGTTCTTGTGTGCCCATCCACGTCCCTCCTCCTTCCCTCTCCTCCTTCCCTCTCCTCCCTTCCTCCCCCCCCATTCCCCCCCCCCACATCGTCTTTCTCTCCACCTTCTCTCCTCCCCTCCTCCTCTCTCCTCTTCCTCCTCCTCCTCCTCTTCCTCTCCTCCTCCCTTCCTCCTCCTTCTCATTCTCCTCATCCTCTTCCTCCCTCATCTCCCGTCCTCCCCTCCTCCTCCTCTTCTCCTCCTCCTCCTCCCTCCTCCTGCTTCTCATCATCTTCCTCCGCCTTCTGATGGCCGCTGCCACTCCCTGTCCGCTCCTGCGTGCTCATCCACGTGTCTCCCCATTCCCTCTCCTCCCTCCCTTCCTCACCCCCCCTCTACTCTCCGTCCTCGCTCTTGCCTGCCACTCACCCTCGTCCCTCTCTCTCTCATTTATTTCTCCACTTCCTCCTCCTCCTCCTCCTCCTCATGTTTCTCCTCCTCCTCCTGCGCCTTCTGATGGCCGCTGCCACTCCCTGTCCGTCTCCCCCTTCCCTCTCCTCCCTCCCCCTTCCCTCATCCCTCCCCTACCCTCCGTCCTTGCTCTTGCCTCCTACTCACCCTCCTGCTCCTCCTCCTCCTCCTTCTCCTCTTCCTATTCCTCCTCCTGATGGCCGCTGCCACTCCCTGTCCGTTCCTGCGTGCTCATCCATGTCTCTCCCCCCATCCCTCTCCTCCCTTCTTCTCCCCTCATTTCCTCCCCTACCCTGTCCCTACCTGCTCCTCCACTTCCTCCTCCTCCTCCTCCTCCTACTCCTCCTCCTCCTCCTCCTCCTCTTCCTCCTCCTCCTCATCATCATCATCATCATCATCGTCATCAGCCGCAGTATCATCATCAGCATCAGCATCACCATCATCATCAGCATCAGCATCGTCATCATCATCACCATCATCAGCAGCATCAGCATCACCATCACCATCGTCAGTATCAGCATTATCATCATCATCATCATACTCATCATCAGCACCATCATCCTCATCAATCATCATCGACGTGCTCATCCTCATCCTCATCCTCGTTGTTTTCTTCTTCCTCCTCATCATCGTCATCATCATCAGCATCATCATTATCATCATCATCATCACCATCACCATCACCATCGTCGCCACCACCATCACCATCACCATCATCGTCATCATCAACATCATCAGCAGCACCATTATGACCATCACCATCTCCATGATCATCGCCACCATCATCATCACTATCACCATTATCACCATCACCATCATCAGCGTCACCATCACCATCATCATAATCATCATCTCCATCACCATCACCAGCACCACCATTACCATCACCATCGTCACCATCACCGTCAACATCATCATGATCATCATGATGATCATCATCATCAGCATCATCATCATCATGTGCAGCATCATCAGTATCAGCATCATCATCATCAGCATCAGCATCAGCATCGTCACCACCATCGCCAACACCATCATCATCATCATGATCATCAACAGCAACATCAGCATGACCATTACCATCACCATCACCATCACCACCATCACCAGCATCATCGGCATCAGCATCAGCAGTATCATCATCATGACCACCACCATCTTTATCATCAGCATCACCATCGTCATCGTCATCACCATCATCATCATCATCATCCTCATCATCATCTTCTTCATCACCATCATCAGCAGCATCAGCATCATCATCATCATCATCATCATCATCATCATCATCATCATCATCATCATCATCATCATCATCATCATCATCATCATCATCCTGCGCCTTCTTCTTCTCCTCCTCCTCCTCCCTCCTCCTCCTCCTCCTCCTCCTCCCTCCCTCCCTCCCTCCTCCTCCTCCTCCTCCTCCTCCTCCTCCTTCTCCCCCTCCTCCTCCTCCTCCTCCAACTCTCCATTCTCCCCGTCCCTCCACCCCTCTCCCCTGCTCCCCCTTCGTTCCCCCTCGATGTGTCCCCCTCCTGCCCCATCACCTCCGAGTCCCCCTTCCCAATCCTCTTCCTCAAAATCCTTGGCGTGCCGCCTGGATCTCTGTTCACAGTCTCGCGGCCCCTTGGGCGCACCACTCCCCGCGCTCCAGCTGCATGACGTCGCGGGCCTTCCCTCGCCCTCTTGGCCCTCCCATGCAGGAGGGAGGGAGGAGGAGGACGAGGACGAGGACGAGCACGAGGGGGGGTGGAGGACGAGGGTGGGTAGATGACGAGGCGATTGCGAGGGGGAGGACGATACGGATGTTGAGGTGGAGGGGAGGAAGAGGACGGGAAGATGGCGATGAAGGAGGAGGAGGAGGAGGAGGAGGAGAGGAGGAGGGAGGAGGAGGAGGAGGAGGAGGAGGAGGAGGACGAGGAGGGGGAGGAGGAGGAGGCGGAGGAGGAGGAGGAGGAGGAGGAGGAGGAGGAGCACTCTGAACCCCCCGACGCGCGGTCGCCCTGACAGGTGCTCGGCAGCATGGACAGGACCGCCGCGCTGGCCTTCCCCCGCAGGGGTAGGAGTGCAGTGGGCACGTCAAACACGAAACTAGCTTGCTTGTGCTGTTGCTTCTGTTGCTGCTGCCGCTCCTCATCCTTTTCCTCCTCTTTATTCCTGCTGTCTGGCGTTGTTTCAGGCTTCAGTGGCCCGGATACTGGATGCACAGGTCGGTCGACGCGTGGCAGGCTCCATCTCGCGGAGGGGGAGAAGCAAGAAACCAGCCTGCCAACAGGTGCCCCGCAGACACATCTCCATCCCTCGATGGCCCCGGGGAGCCGCAGAAGTCCTTCTAGCTCCCCAGGAGGGATACACATTGTTCATTTCTAATTGTTCGAAGGTTTTTCGATTTTTGGGGGGGCCGATATCCTTTCATTTCTCATTGTTCTATCCTGGGCCTCTTCCTGGCCACTAGGGGGCCAGGAACGCTTAGCTTAGAAGCGAGCGCAATTAGACATGTGCACGATCTGAGAAATGAACGACGCGTACGTCTGAGGGTGGCAGCGCCTGGGAGCGCTCAGGAGCGCCTGGGAAGCGCCGCACAGAACCCTTGTGGAGAGCGCACTGGGAGCGCGGGGGGGCGCCCCCGGGAGCGCGCCGGTGGGGAGCGCCTGCGCCTCTGGGAGCGCCTGGGGCCGCGGCATGGGGGCCGCGGCGATGGACGGCGGAGGTGCCCCCCCCCCCAGACGAGGAGCAGCTGCCTCGCAGCCGCCGGAGCTCGAGAGCGCCCCGAGGCGAGCGAGGCGCCCCGCGGGCCCCGCGAGGGCCCTGCGGCTGCGGGCACTGCCGCCCCTGGCGCTCGAGCCCTCGAGGCCTCGAGGCCTCGAGGCCTTGAGCCCTCGAGGCGCCCTCGAGGCCTCGACCCCTCGACCCCTCGAGGCCTCGAGCCCTCGAGCCCTCGAGGCGCCCTCGAGGCCTCGTGCCCTCGAGGCCTCGAGGCCTCGAGCCCTCGATCCCTCGAGCCTCTGGGCGGCCCGGCGCTCCCTGGGCGCCGCGGCCTGCGCGGCGGGCGCCTGCGCCGCTCCTCGCTGTGCTTTCCCCCGCGGGCGGCGCGCGGCGCCCGGCGGCCGCGGCGCGCCCGAGGGGAGGCGGCGCAGCGCCCGCCGCACGCCGGAGCCCCGCGCCGAGGAGCGCGAGGCGCTCCGCTCGCCTCTCCGGGGGTGTCCCCGAGGCCTCGTCGGCTCTGCCGAGGGAGGGCGCGGGGTGCGCCCACGCCAGAGATCTCAGGAGGGGAAAAAACACACAGACACAATTAATCAGCGATTCCCAGAAAATATGGAAAAATATGGGAAGTGGGGGGGAAGACAAAAACCCAGAAAATATGGGAAAATATTGGGGATATTTTTATTTGTGTGTATTTATTTGTGTGTCCCAGTTCCCCTTCAAGATCGGGGGACGCGTCCTGGGGCCTCGGGGCTGGGCTTCTCGTGGAAGGCTTCCTGCGGTCTTGAGGGGGAGCCCTGTCATTGTCTTGTATGGTCTTCTCCTCGAGAGAGAGAGAGGCTTTCTTCGGAGGAGATGTCGCGGCTTTCCTCGGTTTGATTTTTTCCTCGGTTTGGGTTTTTCCCGGAAAGGGCTTCAGGCCCAGGGTTTTCTTTTAGCTGGTTTACCCCCGGTTTTGACTTGAAGGGGGCCGGGGAAATTATTCTTTGTAAATAACGAGGTAAAGTGCTGATTTGTTTCGAGCAAGTGCGTTTCGTGCGTGCCCGCTCGAGGAAAGTGCGCCCCCCATCTCGGATCCTCATAGATAAAACAACGGAATCCGCAGACCCCCGTTTCCCCTTATAAAAAAAAGGGTGCGGAGCGTTTTTCGCAAAATCCTCGACAAATAAACGGGGTCTGGAGCCCCGACCGCGACGCGGAAAAGCGCCCCGCGCGCAGGAATTCCGAGGATGTCTCGCGCGTGCCGCGTCCCGCGCGCATGAATTTCGAGGATGTCTCGACTAACTCGCTTGTTTTGTCAGGATTTCTTGGAATTGTGGCAGGATGTCTCGAGCGAAACGCTTGTTTTTCATGATTTGTTGAGGATGTCTCGAGCGAAACGCTGGTTTTGCAAAATTCTCGAGCGGGGGCTTCGTGGGGGGCCAGAATTCAGAGGATGTCTCAGGCGAAATGCTTGTTTTCGTGTCCCGCTCGCGTGCCCGGTCTTGAGAGGGAGCCCTGTCACTGTCTTGTATTGTTTTTTCCTCGAGAGAGAGAGAGAGAGACTTTCTTCGGAGGAGATGTCGCGGTTTTCCTCGGTTTGGGGTTCTCCTCGGTTTGGGTTCTTCCTCGGTTTGGGTTCTTCCCCGGTTTGGGGTTTTCCTCAGTGTGGGGTTTTCCCCGGTTCGGGGGGGGGTCTCCCTCCTGCGTGCGCCCGCGCCTGGCCGACGCCCCTGCGGCGGCGCCGGAGCCCGAAGGCGAGGCGCGCAGGCGCGGGGTTCGGCCTGCCGCGGGCGCCGGGGCCTCCGCCGTGTGGGCTCCCCCCCCCCCCCGGCTGCCCCGAGGGGGCGGGGGGGGGGTCCACGCGGGCGGCCTCGCGGTGCGGTGTCCCCCCGGGGGCCGCGTTTCGCAGCGGGCGCCTCGCGGCGCTCCGGGCGTCCCCGTCCT